GAAAAAAAAGGAAGACTCAAAAAATAAAATTAAAAAAAAAAAAAACAGTAAAACATAGAGAACACCTTTATGACGGTGAATTTGCAAAAAATTCTTAGACATGACATCAATTCATCACCTATGAAAGGACAGACTGGATTTCACCAAAATAAAACACGCTCTGGGGCAGGTGCCCGTGTCCCGCGTGGGAGGGCCTGGTTCGACTCCCAGCTCCGGCTCCTGACGCCAGCTTCCTGTTCATGCAGACCCTGGGAGACCACAGTGACAGCTCAAGTGGTTGGGTCCTGCCACCCCCGGGGCGACCTGGGCTGAACTCTGGGCTCCTCGCTTCAGACGTCCTGGCTGTCATGGGCATTTGGGTGCTGAAACAGCCGCTGGATCTCTCGTCCTCGCCCTGGCTCTCCCTCACACACCAGATCCTCTAAAAAGGTCTGTACACAGCTTATGTAAAGCACTCTCAGTGTTCAAGGATAAGAAGACAAAGAAGCCAGTTAAAGAGAAAAGCAATATTTGAAGATGCTTTTCCAAAGAGGATGTATGTTGGCTGATGGCTGAAGACATGCTCAAAGTCACAAGCCATGAAGGAAATGTAAATTAGAGGCACAGTGCAACGTCAGTGTGCACCTGCTGAGATACTTTTTTTTTTTTTTTTTAATTTTTGACAGGCAGAGTGGACAGTGAGCGAGAGAGAGAGAGACAGAGAGAAAGGTCTTCCTTTTGCTGTTGGTTCACCCTCCAATGGCCGCTGTGGCCGGCGCATCGCGCTGATCTGAAGCCAGGAGCCAGGTGCTTCCTCCTGGTCTCCCATGGGCTGCAGGGCCCAAGCACTTGGGCCATCCTCCACTGCACTCCCGGGCCACAGCAGAGAGCTGGCCTGGAAGAGGGGCAACCGGGACAGAATCCGGCGCCCCGACCGGGACTAGAACCCGGTGCGCCGGTGCCACAAGGCGGAGGATTAGCCTATTGAGCCACGGCGCTGGCCCTACTGAGATACTTTTAAAAAAAAACCTTGGGGCCAGCATTTGGCGCAGCTGTTACCACATTCTGTATCAGAGTGCCTGTTTGAGTCCTGGTGCCCCGCTCCCCTATCCAGCTTCCTGCTGATGCACCTGGGAGGCAGTGGATGCTGGCCCAAGTGCTTGGGCCCCTGACACCCAGTGGGAGACCTGGATGGAGATCCTGGCTCCTGGCTTTGGCCGGAGCTGTAGGCATGTGAGGAGGTAACTAGCAGATGGAAGATAACTCTGCATCTCTCCCTTTCTCTCTCTGCCACTTTGCATTTTTTTCTTTTACTTTTTTTTTTTTTTATTTTTTGACAGGCAGAGTGGACAGTGAGAGAGAGACAGAGAGAAAGGTCTTCCTTTGCCGTTGATTCACCCCACAACGGCCACTGCGGCCAGCGCACCGCGCTGATCTGAAGCCAGGAGCCAGGTGCCTCTCCTGGTCTCCCATGGGGTGCAGGGCCCAAGCACCTGGACCATCCTCCACTGCACTCCCTGGCCACAGCAGAGAGCTGGCCTGGAAGAGGGGCAACTGGGACAGAATCCAGTGCCCAGACCGGGACTAGAACCCGGTGTGCCGGCGCCGCAGGCAGAGGATTAGCTTAGTGAGCTATGGCGGTGCCGGCCTTTACTTTTTTTTAAAGATTTATTTATTTATTTGAGTTACACAGAGAGAGAAGGAGAGGCAGAGAGAGAGAGAGAGAGAGAGAGAGAGAGAGGTCTCCCATCCTCTGGTTTACTCCCCAGTTGGCTGCAACAGCCAAAGCTGTGCTGATCTGAAGCCAGGAGCCAGGAGCTTCTTCCGGATCCCCCACGAGGGTGCAGGGGCCCAAGCACTTGGGCCATCTTCTACTCCTTTCCCAGGCCATAGCAGAGAGCTGGATCAGAAGTGGAGCAGCCGGGACTAGAACCAGCGCTCATATGTGATGCCGGCACTGCAGGCAGCAGCTTCACCCCCTATGCCACAGCGCCAGCTCCTGCACTTTGAAATAAATAAATCAATCTTTAATTAACAAAAAATCAAATAGCCACTGGGGATGCTCATACCCCACATCAGAGAGCCTGGGTTACAGTCCCAGCTGACGCACACCTGGGAGGCAGCGGTGTGGCCACCCCCGTGGAGACCCCCGCCCCCCAGCCGGCAGGTACCTGACTTGGGGTAGGTAACGATGAAAATGTCGTCGTCCCGCACGTCGGGGCTGTTCTCCGCCAAGCTGATGCTCTCAGGTGAGTACAGGCCGCTGGGGAAGGGGACGCCCTTGTACCTGAAGTATTCACCTTGCAGCTTTTGGCTGTGGGAGGGGAGGGGAGGCGGTGAGGAGGGAAGGCTCTGGGCTCGGGCCTGTCCACCGGCTCTCTCTGTGGGGTCGGCTCCCTGCACCCCCACCACGATCCTGCAAAAGCAGACCCCTGCAGCCTCTGCCCTGTGGATGCAGTGAGGCACAGAGGGGCTGAGGGACTTGCTCAAAGCCACACAGCCGGCGGGGCCGAGGGCGTGCCTGACCTCAGCCCCAGAGGGAGACGTGAAATCCCATTTTACAAGCAAGGAAATCGGGGCTGAAGTCAGGTGCTCGGGGCTGGCGCTGCGGCATAGCTGGCAAAGCCGCGCCTGCAGTGCCGGCGTCCCCTGTGGGTGCTGGTTGGAGTCCCGGCTGCTCCACTTCCCCTCCAGCTCGCTGCTAATGCACCTGGGCAATCAGCAGAGGATAGGTCAAGTGCTTGGGCCCCTGCACCCATGTGGGAGAACCAGAAGAAGCTCCTGGCTCCTGCTTTTGGCCTGGTCCAGTCCCAGCCATTGCAGCCAACTGGGGAGTGAAGCACCCAATGGAAGACCTCTCTCTCTCTCTCTCTATCTCCCTCTCTCTCTGTAACTCTGTTTCAAATAAATAATTTCTTTTAATCAGGTGCCCGCCCACACCACATGGCTACAAAATCCCACGCCAGGTGCTTCAGGAGCAGACAAGTGAAAACCTCCAAGGAGAGATGTGCTTGGAGCAATCGGTTGCATTCTCTCTTTTCTTTCTTTTTATTTATTTATTTTAAAGATTTATTTTTATTTATTCAAAAATCAGAGTTACACAGAGAGAGGAGAGGCAGAGAGAGAGAGAGAGAGAGAGAGAGAGAGAGAGGTCTTCCATCCAATGGTTCACTCCCCAATTGGCCACAATGGCTGGAGCTGAGCCGGTCTGAAGCCAAGAGCCAGAGCTTCTTCTGGGTCTCCCATGCGGTTACAGGGGTCCAAGGACCTGGGCCATCTTCTACTGCTTTCCCAGGCCATAGCAGAGAGCTGGATTGGAAGTAGAACAGCCGGGACTCAAACCGGCACCCATATGGGATGTCGGCACTACAGGCAGCAGCTTTACCCACTATGCCACAGTGCCGGCCCCTGCTCCACTTCAGATCCGGCTCCCTACTAATGCACCTGGGAAGCAGATGATGCCCAAGCGCTTGGGCCCTGCACCCACGAGGGAGACCCAGATGGAGTTCTGGGCTCCTGGCTTCGGCCTGGCCCAATAGATGACAGGAGTCTCTCCTTATGCCAGAGGACGCGTCCTAAGACCCCCAGTGGATGCCTAAAACTGAGGCCAGCACCACACCCTCTGTACAAGCACAGCAGTCACAATGGTTGATCTGATAACCCAGACACCACCGTGTGACTACCGGGCGGGCGGCGTCCATGGCGAGGATACACTGACAAAGGGATGAGTCCCAGTCCCAGGCTGGATGGAGCCGGGCAGCGTGAGACTTCATGATGCTACTCAGAACGGCGTGCAACTTAAAGCGTGGGAAAGCTTTGTTTCCGGAACTGTCCATGTGCAGACCACTGCTGGCTGCAAGTTACTGAACCTGCAGACAAGAGGGTCTGAGGGTACCACTGTGTACCACCTGTGAATTTCATTTCAAGATCTCTTCATTGTATGCAGTACTAACTCAGAGGGGTGCCCACTTAGCACAGTGTTTGGCACACAGTAGGCCTTCAGGAAATTGTAATTTCTTTGGTTGTCCAGTGGCGTCATCAGCCATCCCACAGGTTGAACACAGGGGCGGCAGGAGTGATGTCACCGGTTGCCAGGCAGATTTAGGCCAGTGGGTGGGAGCCGTGAGGTCATGGGTTACCGGGCAGATTAGCAGCTGCATGCCTGCGCCTTGGCTCTGCTTCCTTCCATCACCCACCCTCTTGGAGCTTAGTCTCCTCTGTCCTGTGAAGATAACTGTCACCCTCGAGGATCAAGAGGGCTGGTGTATCCGACACTCCACGTGGCGGGGTTCACGTCTCTGATGTCACAGGGCCATCCCTGCCAGCTTGTAGTACGGGAAGACGGAGCGGCCACCAGGCAGAGAGCTGCGGCCTGCAGGAGTCCTGGAGCTTTTCTTTCCTTTTCTTTTTTTTAAGATTTATTTTATTTGACAGGCAGAGTTACAGAGAGAGGTAGAGACAGAGAGAGAGGTCTTCCAACCGCTGGTTCACTCCCCAGATGGCTGCAACAGCTGGAGCTGCGCCAATCCTTAGCCAGGAGCCAGGAGCTTCTCCCGCGTCTCCCACGCGGGTGCAGGGGCCCGAGCACTTGGGCATCTTCTACCGCTTTCCCAGGCCACAGCAGAGAGCTGGATCGGAAGTGGAGCAGCCGGGACTAGAACTGGCGCCTGTATGGGATGCTGGTGCTTCAGGCCAGGGCGTGAACCCGCTGTGCCACAGCACCGGCCCCCTTGAGGTTTTTGTGGAATGGATGAATGAGTCGGGGTGGGGGTGGGGGTGCCCGCTCTTGCCCTCCCCAGCCCTGGATGCTCAACCAGGACTTGATGGAGGAAGGAAGGAGGAGTGGATGAATGAATGACGGCGATCTACTGAAGCCTCAAGGGCGCTGGTGTCCTCGCTGCTGCCTCTGTGGGCCGTGCTCAGCCAGGCTGCAGCCAGCCAGGCACTGAGCCCAGGACCACTCCCGACGGGCTCCGGGCTGAGAACCCGGCAGAGCTGGGCTGGGAGGCTGCGCAGCCGGGGTGCACCCGCTCTCCACGCCTGGCCCCAGGCGCCCTCTCCTCTCCAGGTCACGGGCACGAGGAAGGAAGACAGCAGATGTGCCAGGCGGCACTGGATGCAGGAGGGACAGCAGACGGTGCAGCTGCCACATCGGTCCTGGCCTCCTGGAAGGTACCTGGCTGGCTCCGCTAGGGGGACCCCAGGACACAGGCTCTCAGCAAAGCCACCACCCTGCCACACCCGTCCACCAGCTCCAGGCCTGGCTCAGGCCCCTCTTACCCTGTGCCTGCAGCCACACCCAGCCCCTGCCAGGGCCTCTTTTTTCTGCCTACAGCCCATCTGCCCTCCCCAACCCCAGAGCTCTCCATGTCCCTCCCTCCAGTGGCTCCTCAGGACAAGGTCCCACCCCTCTGCCGGAACGCCCACTCCATCCTGCCCGCAGCCCACTTTCCCCCTCGCACAGAGCCTGTGTGCACTCTGTTCCCCCCGCCAGGAATGCCTCCCCCCTCCCCTGCCTCCATGGTCAAGGCCCGGGTCAGATGTCACCTCCTGAAGGAAGACTTCCTGGGCTACCAGCCCCTTGCACGGCCTCCTCGGATACCTGGACTCCCCCGGGAAAGCGGGGAGGGTAAGGGATAGCCACCCTCTGGGAACCTGTGATCACAGATTCTCCCAGAACCCCATGAGAGCCGCACTTTGGACCAGAAGAAGTGGAGGCACAGAGAGGTCAAGCTCCCAGGGTCACGCAGCAGCTGTCACGGGGGGTCTGATGCAACACCTGTGCGTGAGCCCGTGTCCCCACGGTCCGACCCACACCCGCCCCCACTCAGTCCCTCATGATGGGAGCCCTCGTCTGGACAGACTGGGGTTTGCCCCGGGCCCTGTGTGACCCGGAAACCACGGCCGGAATCTGCAGAAGGAGGGCAGGGCGGCCGCTGGAGGGGCTCGGCGGTTGACTCGCCTGCTTGGGACCCCCGAATCCCGTGTCGGAGTGCCTGGCCTGCAGTCTCACCTCCTCTTCCTGCTAACGCACACCCTGGGAAGCCAGCATGTGCCCTGCCCCTGCCACCTACACGGGAGACCCGGGCTGAGTTCCAGGCGCCTGGATTCGGCTTAGCCCCGCCCTGTCTGTTGCAGCATTTGGGGCTGTGCATTGGCAGGGAGCTGGAATCAGGAGACAGAGCCAGGACTCAAACCCAGGCACTCCGATTTGGGACGGAGATGTCCCAAGCAGCAGGTTAACCGCTGGCCAGAAGTCTGTTGCAGTTTAAGGATTTTCAAATATTTGTTTTAGTTTTCAGTCCAACTTGTTTGCCAATGTACACAAAACACCCGTTGCCCAGGCTGACACGGAGGGGCCTTTGGTCAATGTTTGTCCTAGGAAGTCAGGGTGACGGGCAGCAGTGCGCGCTCACCGCCAGCTGCACGTGCTGTGACTCATTCATCCGTGCAGCAGCCCGAGCAAGTGGCAATGGATGGCCAGAGAGGCCGGTTCACTGGCTGAGGCCACACAGCTGCAGAGGGCCGAGGTGGGACCTGAACCCAGGCGGTGTGGCCTCAGCGTTTGCACCCTTAGCCGTCCAGGACCAGGGGGTGGCTCCTCCCAGCTTCCTCAGGGGGTCCCTGCCTGCTCGGCCCCTTTCTGGACAGAGGCTAAGGGTGTTTGGGGGACAGGTCAGGAAGACATGGGGTGACCTCAGGCGGCTCCCACACCCACCCTGCCAGCGTGCGCATAGTTAACTCCCGCGGCAGGCGATTCCAGTGTTGATTAATGCGCCTCAGTGAGCTCTCTGAATAGGAGTGACCAAAAAAAGGTCACGGAGAGGCAGGCACTGGGGTGCAGGCGGCTAAGCTGCCGCTGGGGACACCCACATCCCGGATCCGAACGCCCGGTTTGAGTCCTGACTGCCCCACTTCCAACCCAGCTTCCTGCTCAACGGCTCAACTGCTTGAGTCTCTGCCACTCCACGTGGTGGGAGACCCCAGTAGGGAGTTCTGGGCTCCTGTCTGGCCAGGCTCAGCCCCAACCTATCACAGATGTTTGGGGAGTGAACCAGTGGGTAGAAAATCTCTCTCTTTCTCCCCTGTGTTTGTCTGTCTGTCTCCCTATATACATTGCTCTGCCTCAAATAACAAAAAAGAATCCATCAAAAATGTGTATTATGAAAAATGGATAAATTTCAAAATTTTTGGCATCAAAATAAACTTAACATTTAATTCCATTTTCCATGAACTTTAAGAAATGTATTTATCTGAGAGGCAGAGAGAGACAGAGAGGGAACCTTGCATCTGCTGGTTCACTCTTCAAATGCA